CAGAAGAAGCTCCAGCTTCAGATGTGTACTCGGTAGTAACTTTGCTGTCCTTGCCAGAGAGCTGTCAAAAATAGAATCCTATACAGTAGGGACAGTGAAGCTGAACCTGAACAAAATGTATCTGGCCTTTTTAGAAGGAAACAAAGCTGTGTGCATCTCATGTGCATTATGTTTCTTGAGGGAATCTTTCAGGAATCATATTTATCTTTGCACCTACAAAGGACCAGAAATTTGTGATTCAAGTGGAGTCGTTCTGTCCCTGACTGAGCGTCTGGAGAACAGAGTGTGCCCACCCTCCACCCCAATATTATCAAAGCTGGGCCTTTCTGTTATCTAGGACGTGCCTCTTGTAAACAAGGGTGCCCAACTATCCAAGTGATTCTTCCCATTGGTAGTTCTAGGTTGTGTGTGTATTTGAGCCTGGGCAACTGCATGGAGCTTTTTTGAACATGCAGCTCAGTTTCAGACTGTGTGGGCTTTTAAAATAGGTAGATATTGGAATCCTGCTACAAATAGTCAGAGCTACAATTTCTAGTGTAGTATATCCTGATAAAGGCTTCATCCACCAGTTCTCTAATTCTCACTGCAAAAGTGTTTTTTGTCCAAAATTGTGTGTGTCGTGCCTTCAGATCATTTCTAACATGGCGACCCTATGAATTAATGACCTTCAAAACATCCTAATTTACAGCCTTGCTCAAGTCTTGCAGACTGAAGGCCATGGCTTTCTTGACTGAGGCAATACATCTCATGTTGGGTCTTCCTTTTTTCCTGCTGCCTTCAACTTTTCCTAGCGTTATTGTCTTTTCCAGTGAGTCTTGTCTTTTCATGATGTGACCCAAGTACAATAAGCCTTCGATTAGTCGTTTTAGCTTCTGAGGAAATTTCAGGCTTGATTTGATCTCGAACCCCCTTATTTGTCTTTTTGGCAGCCCGTGGTATGTATAAAACTCTCCTCCAGCACCACATCTCAAATGAATCAATTTTCTTCCTGTCAGCTTTCTTAAAAACATGTAGGATATTTTTTCCCATGTGCACCAAATCTATTTCTACAAATGTTATGCTTGTTCACTCTTTGTTCGCTCTTTCCCCACACAACCAGCTCATTTCAGAAAACAGAGCTTTGTGGCTTGTTGACTTTTGCAGTGCTTAGCAAAAGGATGTGACTCGGTGGGGGGAAAGCTTTCCAGAATATTTTCACTCATTCCCCCCCCCAGCCCATTTAATAACCCTTATTAAAGTTATAAGCTTTAATAACAGGATTTATAGTTTCAGCATCTGAGGTTTCGAGCCTCTTGATTTATGCTTTAAATCGCAACGTTTAGCACTTGGTGCTTTAATTTAGACAGATCACCTATTTTCTTAAATGCTTAAGTAATGTAGCAAGCTGCAGTTATTGATTTTTCCGTGCATTTATTACAAAGGAGGCTGGATTTGCTGCCTCCTCTTGGGAATGCCCCTCCTGAACTACACACTTGCTAGTGACAGCTTAGGCCCCTGATACATAACCAAAGACTTTGCCTAATATCCTTGCAACTGCTTGGGGAATTTTTATTAAGTAAAGGCATCATTAAAGTGGACAGAATGATGAAGTTTAATGAGCATCTTTCTCACTTATTGTTAGTTTTGCTGGTACAGCCTCCATGTGCTCATTTGTTCCCCTCAGTGGGGCCAGGTAGAGAACATGGTGGCTACTTAGATGCTTTTTTCTTCGATTTGCATATTACATATGGTTGTGTTGCATTGTGCTAGAGAGGCTCAGAGATGTGTGTTTATAACCAGCTCTGTGTAGCAGAGAAAAGAAAACCTGAGGAAAAAAACCTTATTACTTAGGTTTTTAATGCTTTTTCCAGCTGACATTAAATCCCCAAGAAAACTATTTTGCCCTTTTCCTTAATGACGAAGCTGCAGATACAACCACTGTAGCTCCGGCTGCAGTGTTGTTTAGAAAGCACTCTGCCATTTATCAGTGACGATTATAACACCCGCAGCTTTTTTTTTTAAGTTGCTACCCAGGATAATTACAGATGTCTGAAAGACACAAAACCTTGACTTTTTTTTTTTGTAATGCTACAATCTTATTATTGTTCCACAGAGGCTTCCGTGGAGTGTCCCATTTAAAAATTAGGATCCATCCCCCAATTGGTTCTTGTGGAGAGAGTCATTTTCTAACTAGGACTTTAATTTAGCCTTATCACTTCTTTAATAATCATTGGCTAATGTGTGAGCCAGTAAAGAGGTCTAGCAGGAAGGACAAATTAAATCCTGGTGTGAGATTAGCCACTTTTTTTTACTATGTATGAAAACCCTCAGGTATACTGTGGATGTCTGCTTCTGCAAGGGTGCGGTGGAAGGATGAGCAATCACCCTCGTGCCCAGCTCAGTGTTCATTCTTTGGGGCCTGGCCCACAGGGGATTGATGTGCTAGTCAGGCTGTGAAGCCCGTCACATTGTGGCCTCACACTGTAAGTGATTGCCTACTCATCACAATTTGTTTTATAACCCTTATCCATCTTTCCATCCTGTCATTGTTAATCATTAATGAATTATTTTCATCATTGCCTCCACATCATCACTGTTTGCAGCTTCTCCTTTCTGGCAGATTCAAAGATGCAAGATTCTGCGCCGTGACGTTTACTGGGCAAGCTAAATATTGGGCAAGCTAAATATTTGGGCTTCATCTCTTCTGCTGTCACACAACCCTAGTTTGAGGCATGGGCTGCTAACAGATTACTTCTGTCAGGTGGGGTGTGGGGATCAGAAATTACACCTTAGTAAGAGCTGCACAGGTGCGCCAGTCTGCTGCTAAGTCTGAAAATGCTCCATGATTGTGGCCAAAACCTCTGGATGGTATTCTAAATACCTTCAGGCAGCTAGTAAGCTACCTTGCTTTCTTTCCAGAAATGTCAAGCCACTGCACATTATCCTTTTCTGCTTAGTAGCACATCTGCACCTTCCCAATTTGACAGTCTCCCTGGGTCCTGTATCTTGCATCTCTGTGCCACAGCCCATCTTCTCACATGTCTGACCCGTTTTTTTTCTGTTGGGTCCAGCACATCTATTCTTTGGCTAGGCCACAGGAGTATTGATGACAGAACAGAAACGAGATGAGTGCTTTCCCATCAAACAAGCAAGGACTAACCCTGTCCTTCTTTAGGATCCATCAAAACCTGATACTAGGAACAAGGATCAGATTCAACCACCTGCGGCTCTTAGAGCCAAGTCTGGATCGGTATGGCTTCTCTACAAAGAAAATGAAATCTTTACATTAAAGGGCAATTGAGGGCATGAGGGAGGCTAGAATAGACAAGGGAATGGCAGGCTAAGTTTTTTAATGGGACTAAAGGGTTTCTTAGAGGTACTGTACAGAAAAGGGAATGATAGAGGTGAACAGTGCCCATAATCCAACTTTTGAACCAGGCACAGATGTGTATTTAGAGTACCATCATGTCACAGCTGACTTATGGCAATCCCAGCAAGGGGCTTTCAAGGCAAGTGAGAAGCAGAGGTAGTTTGCCATTGCCTTCTTCTTCAGAGTCTTGCTTGGTGGTCTGCCATCCAGTTACCTTCCAAGAGAGCCAACGTGGTGTAGTGGTCAAGAGCGGCAGACTCTAATCTGAAGAACCAGGTTTGATTTCCCGCTCCTCCACATGAGTCTGGGTAACCTTGGGCCAGTCGCCGTTCTCTCAAAACTCTCTGAGCCCCACCTACCTCACAGGGTGTCTGTTGTGGGAGAGGAAGGGGAAGACGATTGTAAGCTGCTTTGAAACTCCTTAGTGTAGAGAAAAGCGGGGTATAAGATCCAACTCTTCTTCTTCCACTGACCCTGCTTAGCTTCTGAGATCTGACGAGATAGAGGCTACACCGTGCCACCTTCCCTCCCACACAGATATATGCCAGTACATTAAAACAATTGTGCGGGGTGGAGCTGTGTGTATTTATGCTTTATTGTGAGACTTCATGTCTGCCACTTTCTGGTTAAAAAATTGCAAAAACTGTACTTGGACTTCAGAAACTTTTAATCCATATGTCAATTACCAGTAAAGTTAAATTGTATGTTTTCAGTTATGTGGCGGGACTTTTTTATACTGGCTTTGTGTCTATCTCTTGTTCTGTATTTGGACATAGTTGGTTCATTAATTATAAAAAGGTGGCTGTACTAGACAGTATAAGTGAATCACTCATAGTTGTCATGAAAAAAAATAAAATCTGAATACAGCAACTCTGTTGAAGAGCAAGTGCCATATCCAAACTTGGCTGAAAATCTGTGCAGAAACCCATTTTGTGTTCAGGCACCATCTGCATTTTTCTGTTTGCCCCCTTTCAAGAAAAGAAAGTTTATGGATCCCTTTCTTTTGTGACACACGAAACAGACTGCTAAAAGGCACTTTGTCAACTGAGTGAGTTTATATTTGCATCATGTTTGTCTTGAAGGTTTTTAATTTGTGTTTTAAGTAGGGGGTTACTCATAAACGATCTATTAATTGCTCTCTGGTGTTGAGTTTAAAATCCTTCCAGCCTTGTAGTCTATTTAGCTTGCCTGTGAGTGCCAGCAATCTTAATTGTAGGATACTTCGTCAACATTTAATCAGGGGTCTGTTTTAATGTGGCATTGATGTGTTGGTAGCTCTCTTCCTACAATCCATCATGCGTGAGCAGCCAGAGAAGACTCTGACACCATTGCTCCGCGTCACTTTCTTGAGCCCTTGAGTATTCTGGCTAGGCAGCCGGCTCACTTTCCTTTACAGCGGCACTCCATCTCAACAGTTCAACCCAATTTTTGTCAATGTCTTCAAAGGTTAACTGTGTAAGGAGCCTGTGTTTTCAAAATGCTGAGTAAAACTCTTGTGCCCTGGAATGGATGTAGCAACTTCATGGCATGCAGGAGTGACAGGGTTTTGTTTGCAATGACACTTCTTTCTTTTATATATATATGTATAGTTTTGTGTTTCTTGAATGTAGTGACAACACCAACCCGTTCTTTGTTGTAATTATTTTTGCAGCCTTTATGGCAGACACATGCAGGCCGACCCCGACCCTCCGAAGAAGAACAATGACAAATCCAAGAAGATCAGTCGTAAGCCTCTGGCTGCTAAGAACAAATAAGGACCCTGCATGTCCCATTCTGCTATTTTGTTTTGCATGTCTCTCTCATTCTTTTTTTTTTTAAGATATATTTGCTAAAACAAATGACTATTTTATAAAATAAAAGCAAAAATGCCTTTTTCTATCTACATCTATTCACAAAGTATGAACTGCCTTGGTTAATGAGCCAATTAGTATGAGGCAGGCTATAAATGAAGATGATAATAAAAGCTAATAATTATTACCAATTACTGCTTAAATCCTGCAGCCGTCTAAACTACTGTAAACCACTTTATCTGCTCTAGAAACATGGCCAAAATGTTTAATTCACACAGCCAGCGATGCTTTCCTGCTGCACCAGCCTATGTGTCATTCATATTTTATGTAATACACTGTTTGTTAATAAAACCTTTTTTGTACCATATGCTTCTTTCTTTCTTTCTTTCTCCCCTTTCCTTCTCCCCCCTCACCCAGACATCGGATTATTTGATTTTTTTTTCCCTGAGGCAGTATTTTCAATTATGTGTGGACCATGTTTATAATAATGCATTATTAATAATAAACTGGTTTTCAGCAGGGAAACCAAAATTAAAAGGAAGCATTCTCGGGGGGACATATGAAACTGCCTTAAATGTCATCAGGCCATTCAGTGCCTCTGCAACAGGGCTGTCTGATCTGGCTAGCAGGGGCTGTCCCAAGGTCTGAAAAGTCTTTCCCAGCAGAGCTTCCTAAGATCCTTTTAATTGGAGATGGCAGAGATTGCTAGGGAGTCACAGGCACATTCATGGTTGCTGTATAAGGTTCATCTGCTGCTTGGGAGTTCCAAGTTGTGCCTTCATGCTCTTCTGAACTGACATGACAGCATATAGCCTGGGTGTAGGAAGTGTCATGGGGAACTCCAAGTACCCTTGCAGGGGGGAAACCAGCTGTGAGAGCTGCATGGCCTTTGCAGATCCACATTAATATTTATGTATCCACATTAATGCTTAACAGCAGTGTGAATCAGAGAGAACCAGCACAGGTAACTTTATGCTGTACTTTAGGACAACGTGTTTGGGATTAGTTTCCATTGCTCATCCTATAGATTTCCTTCCAATGAGCTGACGTCTATGACTACTGTCTACCAAAACAACAAAGTTTGAGTCCAGTGGCACCTTTAAGAGCAACAAAGTTCTATTCCTGGTATAAGCTTTCATGTGCAAGCACACTTCCTCAGATACCGCATATTAGATATTTGAGGAAGTGTGCTTGCACACAAAAGCTTATACCGTGAATAAAACTTTGTTGGTCTTAAAGGTGCCACTGGACTCAAACTTTGTTCTGATGCTTCAGACTAACACGGCTACCCCACCTGAATCTACCTTTTACCAAGCCTTTCCCCAGTAAAGAAAGACTTACTTCTCTGTCAGGAAGCTTTTCTCCATCAGAAAAAGTCTTTCTCCATTGGAGGAAGTTCTCTTGAAGAAAGACTTGGCAGAAGAGAGGCACAGGATCCAACCCTTTGCAGTTCAATCTCTCCTATATTATAATCCTGTTTTGGAGTGGCAAGATTCGATGCACGCCAAAATCAGTTGGCTGTCTGAACTGCCATTCAGATACAGGTCCTTGGCCACTGGCTGCGTTGCCTGAGTCTCGCCTATAGAGTCAGCACTTGCCAAAATTCCCCTCACAACAGAACTTCACCTCAAGAGAGGACACAGACTCTGGCCCTGTCAATAGGAGCTCGGAGCACGACGACAGAGCTGGGGCCTACCTGACTGAGGATTGCTAGCCACAGGCGGCAGCAGTGCACATCAAGCAGCGGCGACCCGCTTTAGAGGGCAGCGGCTTGATTTTCAGGCGGTGGCAGTCCAATTCGGGTGTTGGTGACTCAATTTCGGTGGCCTGCAGTCTTGGCAACCGTGGGGACTTGCGGAGTGATTGCCAGCTGCACCAGCATCCAGAGGCAGTGTCAGGGCCCGAGTTGGGGCTGCAGCAGCGGCGAGGTGTAGGGGCCACATCAGAGCCCGGATTCCAGCCGCAGCATTCACGGCATGCTCCTTGGGGACGTGACTGCATCCTCCGGCTGTGGACCGCTCTTGTCGGCCTATTCCCAGGCCCGCATCATTGGCTCGATTTCCATGGCTGCATTGCAGCCTGAGCTTCTGGGGCCCTGTCAGGTAGGCCTTGGGCAGTGGTGGCTGCAGTTGGTCAGCCTGCTGCCCCCCCGATCCTTCTTTCTGTCATCCCCTGTAGGGCAAGCTGTCAGGGTGTGTGGGGGAGGGTTAGACCTGCGCACTCGGGGAAACACACATACTAATTTGATGCTTACCTGGGAAGGGGATAGACTTGACAACTCTGCGGGGGGAATTCCATGAGATTTCAGGGAGGGAGCTTGCAGAGGAACGGGTTTGAGGAGGGCTGCGACCTCAGACAAACACGGAGAGAGCATTGTGGTCATGCCGGGGTCTTGGGATGCCGGGAAAAACCGGAGTGCTGGGGGGGGGGCAACATGTCACATCTTGCTAGAGCTTGTTGTATTAATTTCACAACGAGCTTTGCTACTAGTCCTATATAAGGTTACTCCAGTCTAAGTGCATTGCAGTCATTTGGTTTAAACTAGAATAGCCATGCACAGATTTGCATTTTTAGTTTCCTTTTTAGAATATGATAGTATCTTATTTTCAGTGCAAGTTAGCTAAAATGTAGAGCTGCGTAAGAAGTTATAATTTTTAATCCAATTTTATTCTTTTGTATTGTGTGTCATAATGGTTTTCCTTGAGATTCTCCTCTCCAGTTTTCTAAATTTAGGTGAAAAACAGGGGGGGAAATGTTATCTCCAAGAAAGTCTTCCAGCTGCCAAATGCAATTTTCAACAAAACTTTCTCATTTGAAGAAATAGTTTTCTGCCAATATTTAGTTCTTTTTTAATGGAGCAAACAAGAGACCTAAATAGCATTTAATCGCCACTACAAAAATTCTTAGTTTGAAGGATTTTAGCTAAATGAGTGTGTGAATTTGCCAAAGGATATATTTTTATCTACATAAAGCCTGCACCACATCCAAAACTCAAAATCATGTTTGGGAACTGATGAAGCAGCCTTTTTTTCTCATCAGAAATAATGTCAGGGTTTTTTTCATCATAGGGAAA